CTCAGCCCCGGCCCTCGCCCCCTTCTCCTGCGGCGCCTCCCCTGGGGCGTGGGGCTCCCGAGTGCACGTGGTTCAGCCTGTGCGCTCCTGGCTGTCGGCCGACCGTGTTGATCTGTTCCATGGTCCCTGGCGGCAACGCCCACGGCATCCTCTTGCTTCTCGGCCCGGAGTTGAGGTGTGGACCTTCCTGTTCCAGCAGTCCTCAGTCGCCGGTTCCAGCTCGAGAGTGCGTGTGGCTACCTGATCCGGTGGTTCGGGAGCTTACGGTGTCGAGGACCTCCATCGTGTCCCTGGCTACCTGGCCCGTCCCTGGGTAACTTCGTGGACGGTCTTCGCAGGATCAGTACTTCCCAACGGGAACCGGGTGTGCGACTTTGGTGGCGCCTCTCAGTGCACCAGTTTGGGCCTTCCGGGACGCTTGACAGTCGTCGCAGATACTGGCTCGCCGCCTCCCTGGTGCCACCCTGGTATGCAGCTCGCGCCATTTTGGCCGCGCCCCAACCTCGGTTGGTCAATTTGCACGTTGCCCTGGTTCAGACGGCCCTGTCCGCCGTGGTGATGCCTGAGGCCCCGCCGGCTTTAGGTAATTCGTCTCTGCGCGGCCCGCTCTGACTCGACTCGCCGTTTGCGCTCTCGCCTGCGGCTGCTGACTAAAAGTGTCCCCACCAGCCCATCCAGAAACAACTCGCCAGGCAAGTTGCCTTGACCAGGGCAGTGTAGAAGCATGCAGTGCACCAGCCGCCTTAGAAGTGGTTTTTCGGAGGTCTCTTGGAGCCATCTTGGGTCTCTCTTGGGGTCCTCGCGGGGCCACTTGGGGCACTCTTGGGGCCCTCTTGGTGCCCTCTTGGAGCTTTTCGGGGGGTCTAGTGGCCCTCTTGGCGGTCCTAAATTCACCCCCCCCCCCCTGGGAGGCTCAACGATGGCGTCTTGGGGCCGGCTTGGGGCGTTCTTGGGGCGCTCTTGGGCGCTCTTTGGGCCCCTTGGGCCCCTCTTGGGGCCCTCGTGGACCGTCTTGGGGCCATCGTAAGGCCGCAAAAGTCCTTCGTTAGCGAAAAGGCGAAAAATCAACACACATGAATTTCCCTTCGGTTTTGGAGCCATTGTGGCCTCTAGGGGGGTTCTTTGGAAGGTTCGAAGGGCACTTGAAACCATCTTGGGGCCGTCTTGAGGCTTCTTGGATGTTTGTCGGAGGCTGCCTGGAGCCATTTTGAAGTATCTTGAGCCATATTGGAGGCCATTGTGGGCTCTCTGAGACACTCTTGGAGCCATCTCGGGCCATCTTGGACGCTCTAACCCCCCTGCCCCCCCTCCCAGGTCGAAGGGAGGGGTTGGGGGGAGGGGTCAAGCTTCTCACCCGCCCGCAAGCCGTCTTGCTCACTCCCATTGGCCCTCCGAACACGCGCGTAACGCCCAGGAATCAGCATATCGCGTAAGGACGCCGCGGACGCCACGGGTTCCAGATGCACCAGACTCTGGAGGCCCAGGCGTGCCAGGCGCGCCATGGGCGGCGCGTGTGCCCAGTGTTCCACGTGCTCCCGCCGCGCCAGGTACACCAGCCACTGGGAACCACTAGGGGCTCTTGGGCCAGGCTTTGAGTTTTCCTGGGAATTTTGGAGCCATGTGGAGGATTCGAAGTCCCATCGGAAACGGTAAGGCGAAGATGCAGCAGCCACTGATGTGTCAGACCAATCGGTCGACCACCTGCGCCCAGAAGGCAGGTAGGATTTGCTGGCACCCCAGCCGCCCCTGTATAATACCAATACAAAATGATCGCGGGGCGGCCGCGCATGCTCCAAATATGGAGGCAGAGTGCATTTCGTATGGTTTTTTGACAAGGATGGTGGGGGGGTGGCCCTCATGGGGTTGGCATGGTTCAGGGTTGGCCGCCGACCGGGTGGGGGAGGGGGTGCATATCAAGCTAGGTGCGCTCGCGCCCATCCCTTACCATGACGTAGATATCCTCTCTATTCGCACAGTCGGATGTCGAGCAGGGCATAAATGCGAGAGGATACGCGATGCATGGTAGAGCTCGGCATGGCATGGCGTAGAAGAGCACGGCAGCGCGTAGCATGCCATAGCATGGCGTGGCATTGCGCAGTGAAGCATTGCATCACAAAGCATTGCAACGCAAAGCACGGCATCGCACACCGGCGCAGAGCACAACACCGCACAGCATGTCATGGCATGGCGCCTGGTTTCTTGGAGGGTATGTGGATCGTCTTCGAGAGGTCTGGGCCGGTCTGGAGGCGTGGCTGCATGTCTAGCTCTTTGGGCTCCCCGAAAAACTTCGAAACAAGGCGGGGCTGATGGAGAGCACCCGCTGGCTCTGCTTTCAGCATCGCCTCTTCAAAGCAGAAACGTGGATCCCGCTTGATACTTCCTGAAAACGACGTCGCCCCAAAGTGGGGGGGGATTTCTGCGGCCCAAAAAATCAACGCATCGACACCGAATGTGTAATCACTTCCGATGGTTTTTTTCGGGGGTCATTCTGTAGATTGGATCCAATTTGGAAGGACCAAAACGCCCGCGCTGCAGCGGGAGCACGATTTGGAGTAACCAGATGCGCAGAAATGGGGCCAGCGCGTCAGCGGGAGTAACGTTTTGAAAACAACAACCCAAGGGAAAACCCATTTCCCCGGACTCCTGTGGGTAAAAAACAGTACGCGGAGGGGGGGCGGACATCTTTGGACGCCATCGTCAGAGAGAGGAGAGTAGTGTTCATATTGTGTAATTGTTAATCGGGAACAGTGTAAAACCCCCTTCCGAGCACGGGAAGGAGGGATTTTGGCAGAGAGAAACAAGAGTGCTGGTGAGATTTGCAAGGTTTGCACGGGTCCCAATCCTAATCTCAACTTGCGCCACAACTTATTCTTGTGTCGTGGGGAGGAGGGTTGGAATAGGCGGGGCCCTCTGACTCGCTCAACCTGGCTCACTTGTCCCTTACCCCTACTCTTACTCGTACTCTTAGTCCTACTCTCACTCCACTCTACTCTAATATGCTCTATTATATTATGCTCTGCTCTGCTTTCCTCTCCTCTGCTCGACTCTACTCTACTCTATTCTACCTTACTCTACTCTACCCTACTCTACCCTACTCTTCTCTACCCTTCTCCACTACGCATGCACCCTTTTTCCTACTCTGCTTTGCCCGGCTCTAATCTACTTTACTTCTGAGTCAGACGATTGTTGGACGATTGCTGGGACGCTGTCGGACTATCCACAGGAAACCATGCGGATAGCAGATGCAGCAATGTGGATACAGAGGAAGCAATACGGACAGCAGAGGAAGCCACGCGGAGACAGCGCAAACCATACGGATAGTCTTGACGACTGCTGGACGATTGTTCGGACGCAATTCGGATAGCCATAGGAAAAATTGGAACAGCAGAGGAAGCAAGGCGGATATGGAGGACGCCATGCGGATAGCAGAGGGCGTTATGTGGATACAGAGGAAGCCATGCGGATAGCAGAGGAAGCCATGTGGATACAGAGGAAGCCATGCGGATAGCTGCGGAAGCCATGTGGATACGGAAGATGCCATGCGCATAGCAACGGAAGCTATGCGCGCACACAGAGGAGATGACGCCATGCGCATACTTTGACGACGCATGGGCAAAATAGAGTGCGAGGGTTGTACTTGACCAGTTCAGTTCTCTAGGGAGTGAGCTAGGGTTCCTATAGGCATGCCGATTTGGAAAAACACAACGAAACGTTCACATTTAAAAGCAAATCCATATACTCAAGCACGCAATGAAGCTGTTGCTGTACTACGAAGCCCAGACGGGGCCTGGATGGCCCGTCCGCTCCGACTCGAATCGCTTTCCTCGCGCAGCCAATTTTTTGTTTGTTTTGTTAAACTAATTTTCCAGCCCCAGCCTGTGCAGCGTTATGTTTGCGCGATTTTCGCCCTAGGTGTCATGGTCCAGACAGCGGGTCACAGAGTGCCCGTCCGTTCCGACTCCAATCGCTTGCCCTCGCGCAGTCATCGTACTTTTTATCAGCTTGCAAGTCCCCAGTCTGTGCAGCGTCATTATTGCGCGGTTCGCCCTAGGTGTCATGGCTTGGATAGCGGGCCGCACAGCATCTGAAGCAGGAACACTTTCTGAGGTATAGTAGGCTAGGCATCCTCTCGGCCACCTGGGTTCATGGCTGGTTTTCTGCCACGAGTATATCGTTTTTGGGCTTGTTTTCCACGCTCCAGCCTCTACACTGCGGCATCAAGACGACCATAGGTCCATGTCGCGCGAAACATTTCAATCTCTATATATGTCTGCATCTATTTCCCTCCGCCTGCGCTGAGATGATCGTCGCCGCCACGGCAGGATGCGCTAACAATGCATTGCTTCGTGGACGCTCCGATGCCCAGTGCTAGCAGTAGAAGTCGCTGTCGTCGTCGTTGTCGTCGTCGTCGTTGTCGTCGTCGTCATCACTGTTGTACTCGGAGCGGTATTAGTGGACGTAGTAGTAGCAGTAGTCGTAGTAGTAGTAGTAGTGGTAGTAGTAGTAGTAGTAGTAGTAGTAGTAGTAATAGTAGTAGTGGTCGTAGTGGTCGTAGTAGTAGTAGCAGCAGTAGTCGTGCTAGTAGTAGTAGTAGTAGTAGTAGTAGTAGTAGTAGTCGTAGTAGTAGTAGTAGTAGTAGTAGTAGTCGTAGTAGTAGTAGTAGTAGTAGTAGTAGTAGTAGTAGTAGTAGTAGTAGTAAGTAGTAGTAGTAGTAGTAGTAGTAGTAGTAGTAGTCGTAGTAGTAGTAGTAGTAGTAGTAGTAGTAGTAGTAGTAGTAGTAGTAGTAGTAGTAGTAGTATAGTAGTAGTAGTAGTAGTAGTAGTAGTAGCAGTAGCAGCAGTAGTAGTAGAGTAGTAGTAGCAGTAGTAGTAGTAGTAGTAGTAGTAGTAGTAGTGTAGTAGTAAGTAGTAGTAGTAGTATAGTAGTAGTAGTAGTAGTAGTAGTCGTAGTAACAGTAGTAGTAGTAGTAGTAGTAGTAGTAGTAGTAGTAGTAGTAGTAG